TGATCTAATTTCATTGTAAAAGAACGATTTTCAACAAATGTTGACAACAATACCATTGGCATTACTGCAATTGTTTTTTATTTCGTAATATTCTGCTTTTTGAATTTCATAAATATCATTTTTAGTTTGGTTTTTATGAGAGTTTCCCCAAATCTTAGCAAATTCGTCAAATTGCCTGGTGTTCTTCGCATAGGTAGGATAGTTTCGCTCGGAACTAAAAGGATTAAAACTATACAAAGTACTGTTAGCAATGATGGACTGAAGAAATTGAAATTTAATTAAGGCAAAATCTTAGTAGTTCCATGCTAAACCTATCAGAGATTTTAAAACAGCAGTGATGTAAAAGAGTTGAGAAATAAAAATATAGTTTATAGGACCGTTAAGAAATTAAATCTGACATGAAATTATTATTACTATTTCTTTAGTGTATAATTACTTATATTTGAATAGTAATTTTTTGCCTAGTGTTCGGAAAGAATATCTTAATATATATTCCTTGAGGATAGTCTTAAAATCTCAATGTCTGACTATCAAAGCAATTAAAAAATTAATCCCGTAATGAAATCAAGAATGAAAAAGATGTATTCAAATATGTTCATCAGATATTTTTGTTTTTAATTTCTATATCTTTTATGCGAAAAATCTCTTCTTTACAAGTACACGTGCTTCCAAAATGCTATGTAATGCACAAAGATGTTTGCGAAGAATTGAAAAGTTTTCTTTGGTTAGGAACACCTTATAACACAACATTTAAGCAATTTTTTCCAACGATGTCCATTTGTAAGCTGAAAGGTAAGTCTGATATCGTTTAAGAACAGATTGCGTAGTACACAGAAATGTATTCAGATTATTTTCAAAAAATTCTTAGAAACTCGAATATATGTATACTTATATTATGCTCACCCGATAAATTATGACTTCCTAAACCTTAAAGTATCATCCTGCCATATCCCACCAATCTATAATGAATTGCACTATATTGATGTGAAATCATTTGATTTTTTAACTAAATGAGTAGGGCCAAATGTGAACTATTTGTAAATGAAATCCCAAATTACAATACTTATTTTCAGTGCTTTGATGTAATGTGTGTTGATGAATATCCACAGTAGTAGTGAAGTGATATTAAACGCAATCAGTAATTCGGAGATTTTGTCATAAAATGAAGTTAATACCAGCTGATATGCATTCTATAAAATAGAACTGAGGAGGTAATTTTGAAGGTGGAGCGAAATTTTACGGATCATGTGCTTTTCAAACTGTGTGTTCATCCATGCTAACAGTTTTATGCTATTACAGAAGTAATTCTCCGTTTTCGAAACATTTACGCTCAGGTTAGGTTAGGTTATTTAATTACGGCAAAGCCTCGAGGGCTATCTGCCTAAGGGAAGGGATGCCTTGGTGGAGGACTTTCTAAGGGAAACTGGCTCGTATACGCGTTACACATGGGGGAAAACCACGAAAACACCCATGCAGCCAGCCCGTTCTCGGGATTCGAACCTCGGACCGAACTACCAGTGTTCAGCGACTTTACCGCTCGGCCGCTGGTGAGCTCCACATTTATGCTCAGACACTTCGTCTTTTCAACTAACAAATGAATAATTTTTGCACTTATCAGAAATCTATTTAGTAAAAACTGCCAGTAAATGTAAACCAAATTCTATCATTTTTCCATATAATTAAAAGATTAATCTAAAAAAGGAAATTTAAAATAAGCCCGATATTTTTTGTCTTCTAGTGACGGGGCGTTTTCTGACTCTTGCATCGCTTTATTAACCCCTTCCTGTAAAATGACGAGGCTATCACGTCATTGGTTTTTCATGCCATATCGCACAATGACGAGCTACACTCGTCATTGGTTTTTCATGCCATATCGCACACTCATCATTGGTTTTTCATGCCATATCGCACAATGACAAGCTACACTCGTCATGCATACTGTTGAATATCATAATTAATTTAGTTTAAAATTTCTAGTGTACTGAATTCGGCAACACCTTTTTTACTTGTGGAAATATCACAGATCCTATAACATATTGTTTACGTTAGAATTTCTTGGTACAAGTCACGGCCGAATTTTGTTAGTCTGTAAAATTTCATTTGTAAAAATTAGTGGAGTACGGTCAAATACATTTCTGTAAAGGAAAAAAAACGGTACTTTTCAGTTTGGCCGGCGCAATTTCCATTTCGCGGCGCAAGCGATAAGTCGCTGAGTGATGAGTTTCAAAGTGTGTAAGATTATTTATGGTTGGTGTGAAGAATTAACTTCAGTTAAACGGTGTGAAAAGTTCTTTCAATATTGTTCCAAATTCAATTTAAATATTTTTTATTTGCATTCAAATAAAAAACCGGGGGGGTGTTTCGTACCGGAAGGGATTAAAGAAGATCTTTTCCAGCTAAGCAAAAAATGGCTTAGCTGGAAAAGGCCTCCTTAGCTGGAGACTCTGGAAATTCTCGAAAACTTTCGGGAGTAAATCTTATATTCCCAAAGAAAATTTAAATGCAAATTCGGAAATATCCGGATATCAAAAGAAGCAAAACAGTCGGCAAAAAACCAGTCATTTGGAAGGAAATTTGTCATTCCAAATCACGTGGGAATGATATAAATATTAATCCGGGCGGATAATGTGAACTTCTAGAAAAGAAACTAACTTCCAGTGATCATAAAACTATCCAAAGAAGCATACTCGAAAAATAAAATTAACGGCAGAAATAATCATTGGCGAATTACGGGAAGAGAGAGGGAAAAGGAGCACATGATTATATACATGTTTGGCGTCCTGGGAGTTTGATTTCATGTAGCTGCCTTTCTGAAAAAAGTATTATAGTATGTGTTGATTATACTCTTTCGACTATTATATACGTCGAAAACTGCATATCTTGAAAATTTATGAGGGATGTATTGATGACTTATAAGAGGAAAAGCATACAGCCTCACAACAATGAGCGAAAAAGACAAAGTTCCGTAACTTATTAAATAAAACATTGATACTAAATCTTTAAACCTGTCGATTAATAAGTTTTGAAGTCATCATGAAAGTCTCATGCACAAGGTTTATTTGTAATTTTTTATGTGTTTTCATACTGAGAAAAAGACAACCATAAAAAGGGTTTTTAATGAGTTTCATAATTAAAACTAAATTTTAAAAACTTCTGGCTAAGTGCTATTTTAATAGTCTAGTGATTACAACATTTGTTTTCTTTATTTTCGGTTTACATTTTAAATAGTAAACATGACAAAGTTTTGCAATTTTTATTAGTAAAAATCATCTTTGGGCATTGTTAACGCTTACTGTACAGTTCAAAGGAGGTACGTTTAAATAAATATTGTATTTTTAAACTAATGCTGAAATACGATTTGCACAAAAAAAGATATTCTGCTTACATTACAGTTCTCTCATAGCAGTGAAAAATATCATCATGTTTTGAGACGAATAATTAATGAATGTTTAAGGGGTGTTGGAACCCCAAAATCTTCAAAAAATTGTGATTTCGGATTTTTGCATTTTCAAATTCTCTATACTTTTATCTTTCTAAAAATACCATTCTTTAATCTCTATGAAAGTTAGAACTGTAAAAAAATCTAGTTTTAATTTGTCATCTACTGCTTTCATCAATGAGGAATTTTACATAAAAACGCGTTTTTCTCCAAACGTGATTTTTTTATACTCCATGTACCTTTTCTCAGGAACTACTGCTCACAGGTTCTAAACTTATGGCTTATTTATAGGTTCCTAATATTTACTGAAATGAGCTTTGTAATAAACTTAGAAAAAAAAATATTTTTTTGTGTGAGAAAGTGCTAAATTTTACTATGCCTAACAAAAATTATGTATTTACTCTAAAATTCGAAATGCTTCAAAAGCTCATTTCAGTATAATCAGATAGGTATACTTTAATTACAGAAAAAATTTTAAGCTTGTATCTACAGCAGACTTTGAGAAAAAGTACACCGAAAATGGCCAATTTAACATTGTAGGTATAGGGGTTTCTGATATAGCTTAAAGCAATATTAACTACCATTTTTAGAATCAGAGACATTCAAGTGTTATTCTTAGGAACCTAAGCAATAATTCATATAATTTTTATAAATTTAAAGTAAGTTGAATGGTTGACTGTATCACAACTGAGAGATAAATTCACTTTTCCTTTAGATAATTTACAACTAATAATGCACAGATAAATTATATTGCATAGAAACGTTTACTTAAATAATCATCAGCTTACTCCCAGCGACTGAATACTTGCTGATTTGGTATTTTTGGAGACGTAGTTTATTCCGTTCATTCTTTTTTACAAATCTCAATTATCGAGAAAGTTTCTCCAGGAACACCGTATAGCCACTACTGAACTCAAAAGGAAAACAGATATTATAAAATTCCCTTGTAGATTCGAAACCAACCAACAAGATTCGTAGACATTTTCCACTATGTAATAGTGTATAATTAAGACAAGCAGTTGCCCATATTATAAGCAGTCACTTACAACATTTGATTTTGTGTGCTTTGAATTCTGAATTGAATACTGCTGTAGAGACATTAGGATTTATTTGGAAGCAGGCAATATGAAAAATATGCAACCGCCTTCGCCGGGAATCGAACCACGGAACTCTGGAATACCGGCCCAGCGTGCTACCGTTACACCACGAAGGCAAGCTAGGAAAGTGGGAGAAATACCTTATATACTCCCCTTTTTAAAGAGCGACTAGTGTTTTAGGGGACCTAGTCGCCAAATCCTGGGTGCGGAGAATCATCATCCACAACCCTTTTAGTTTGGGCGACACTTGTAGAAACATTAGGATTTATTTGGAAGCAGGCAATATGAAAAATGTCCAACCGCCTTCCCCGGGAATCGAACCACGGACCTCTGGAATACCGGCCGCGCGTGCTACCTTTACACCACGATGGCACGCTAGGGAAGTGGGAAAATTACTTTATACTGCTTTCCTTTGTCATTGCATTAAGATAGATTTAGATTTAGATTTAGAAAACAGTACTCACTATGACTCATATTTTCGCTAATGTGAAGTCCAGATGTCTGCTGTCTTCCACCAAATACCATTTCCTCATTGCTCATTGTGTAGATGCGAGAGATAGTCGCAGTACATTTCAGCTTCATGTTGCCATTTCGAAAATGCTGACTAGTCACCACGAATTTGAGACCCAAACTAGAAGTTTCCAATCCGTCAGCATGTAATGTGGTTGAATATTCTGTCTCATACTCAGGTCCTACCTGCAAAACATAAGGCGAAAGACTGCTTAGAATTTTATTTTTAATAAGAAAGTTAATAAAAACAATCACATAACAACATTTTACATCATTATTCAAATACTGCGTTTATCCTTCATAATTTAATAAAGCCATGGGTTTTAAATACTTGTTATTTATGCTTTTTATTTTGTTACTTTTCAAATTATAGCATTAACATTTAAAATAAATCATGTCGACACAAGTTTTGTGTCGATGGTTGTAGACATATAACTCCAATTACACAAGTGTTTTCAATTAGGAAAATATTCATGTTCTAACTTTATATTATTTATATTTACAAATTAATTTGTAAAAATGACCAAAATGATATTTTTTAATTCTTTACCCCAGTCCCTACTTACGAAAATTTTGCACTCATTATAAAAATGCACAAAACGTTTAACTCCCATATGACACAAACTGACCAAGATATTTAATTCCATGATTTGGGATTTTTGGCGTCACTTAGGTTTCTCTTGAGGGGTAATTTAAAATAAAATATAACAATTTACGGTTAATTTTTCCATTAATTGCCATTCAATTATATTATTTTTGGGATAAACTAAAGTGTTTTTTTAACGATCGGGTGCTTTATTTAATAGCTATTAGCCTTGCGCCACTACAAGTGCCGGAAGTGTTGGCCATTTCACTATGAAAGCACCTAATAGGAGGCCACCGTTACCTCCTATGAACGGACGAACAGTTACAACCATGCCTTCTCCGAGATTAGAACCCGGGCCCACCGCTACGGTAATTAGGGTCACTAGCCACTTTACCCGTTGAACAGCACTTACTAATGTGTAAAATTCTTTAATTTATACTTTTGTTACAGACGATATACCGAAAGAATTTTAGACAAGTAATTTATAAAGTTTCAAACACTATAGTTTAGTTTAGAATCATAATCTCAATCACTTTCTTTAGTTTAGAACCATAATATCAAAATTATACCGAAACTTTCATTAAACTAGAAAACTTTTCTGTGTGTATATTATGCACTTCTAATACACTGGTTATCATAAATTAAGGAAAAATCACAAAAACCGCGATAACTCTTTAAAAATAAGCCAAACCGTGTAAAATTTGAATATGTTGCCAAGTAAGAGTAGCTGAGTAAAACTGCGATATGCAAATTAGTGTCACTGCTTTCGGAATACGTCATCTGCGAGGAGCATAAAAGTCCATGTTTGAGAGCAAGCCCACATATTTCACTGTGACAGTGACATCAGAAATCTGAGCTAACCAATTCGTAACAATGACCTCCAGGCATCATTTGCCTGCAGAACTGCGATGGAGAGCCATTGGGACACTAGAGGCAGGACAAAGTCAAACAGAAGTGGCCAGATGGCTAAATATGAGTCCTTCTGTGGTTCATAGACTTTGGAGGCAATTTCAAACCACAGATTCGGCATGTAGGAGGTTCAGCCAAGGACGGCCAACTGCTACGACGAACGCCGATGACCGATATTTGACATTATGTGCACGCAGGAATATAACCGCTACTCCGACTCTTCTTAGATCCTACCTTGCTGCAGCCACCGGAAGGTTCGTGTCAACGTCAACTGTGCGTAGAAGGTTTCATGAAGGTGGTCTTGTATGCGCAGCGACCAGCCATTTGTGTGCCGCTCACGTCACGCCACACGCCATAGGAGGGACCGTTTTCAGTGGGCACGACAACATGTCCAATGGACGCCTGATCAATGGAGGGCGGTTGTCTTTACGGATGAGTCCAGGTTTGGTCTAGAAAGCGATAGTAGGCGTTGTTTGATATGGAGAGAACCTAGAACCCATTATCATCCGTCCGACATCCGTGAAAGAGATGCATACGGAAGAGGCAGTGTCTGTGTTTGGGGTGGCATCTCTTTGGGTGGACGCACGGACTTCCATGTCTTTCCAAGGGGAGCCGTAAATGCTGAGATTTATAGAGATGACACCCTTGATGTTTATGTGCGCCCATATGCCGGTGCAATAGGTGATGCTTTCCTGTTACAGGACGACAACGGAAGACCACACAGGGCTCGCATCGTAGATGATTATCTTCAACAGAAAACAATTATGCGCATGGAGTGGCCAGCTCGATTTCCGGACTTGAATCCTATCGAACACGTTTGGGATGTTTTGGGGAGACGTCTAGTTGCTCTCAATCCGCCCCCTCATATCCTTGTCGCGCTGCAACTGCTTTGTAAGAGCAATGGCTGTCGTTTCCTATGGAACTGACAGACCGCGTAATTGAAAGCATCATACATCGTTGTATGTGCTGTATTGCTTCTCGAGGCGATCATATTCTATAGTGAAGGTACTTTCCCTATAGCAAACTGACACCTTCGATTTGTTCATTTTATACATGTGCTAATTTCTATACTACCATATTTTGTCTGATAATTTCTTTTTATGTTATTTGATACCTTATTATGTGTTGTATATTGTGGGTAAGTTTCATTAAATTCTACATGCAACATTTTCAGTAATCGTGATTTTTGTGATTGTTCCTTACTTTATGTTAACCAGTGTATTATAACTTGGCTATGTGTCAATTCTCCTATGTTTTCTATTCTGGGAATAAAATGTCCTTTTGGAAAATTAATTACATGATAAACATTGAAAGCCTTCGTAGCAATGGTTGTCACTTAACCTGTTAACATTTGAAACACTTTTCTAAAATGATTCGTTATTTTTAGTTGTGCAAAATTTAGTTGTACAAAATGCAACCTCTTATCTCCTCAATTTTTATATGGCCCCTGAATACGATCTGTTATTTTAAAATTATATATATCGGTAAATTATTGTCGCACAGGAATCAAATAGGTTGTATTTTATTTTTAATTTGAACATAAAGGTTTTCCTAATGTAGCTATGGAAACCGGAGAGACTTTTTGCAAGACTGATTTTTCAAATTCAAAGTGCAAAAAACATCATTATGTGTATAATTTAAAACAAGTTTATAATTGAAATTACATTTCCATAATTAACGGTGGCGAAAATTAAGCCGCGTAAATACTTTTGTAAACATGATGTATATTAATGCATGAAGATTGAAATTCAGACTGCGTACACTCACGTGTATACAATATATTTCAGACATTATTGTAATATATTACTGCATGTTATAATGTGATAAATCATTAACATATATAGGCAGCTTCCCAGCAATCAAAGATGGAAGTATAAAATTAGTCTGGATTTTTTAATTTAGTACAATATTACTTAGTCTAATAATGCAAAAAAGTGCTGAGTTCTAAAGTACCACGAATATAAACTACTTCAGCAAACTCTCTGGCTTCTCAGAAAATGTGTATATAATCTGAATTTGAATAAAATGCGAATGCCCTTGATAATTAAATATCTTTACTGAATGACTGACTATGAAATATAATTAGATTGCAAGTGTTCATAATAATTACGAAATATTAACTTCATAATCGAGTTATTTATTACAATAAAATTTAACTGCAAGACATTAAATTCAAACAAAACTCAATTAAGACGTAAGGGACTTTTATTATGCCACCAAATTACATTTCTAACTTTCGTTCTGGTTCCGCATTTATTATTTATAAAAGTATGCAAATTAAGGTCCCAATAAAAGGCTTTAAATTTGCTACAAATTTAGCGCACAAAACTTTCTTCTTTGGAACTAGCTGATACGTTGATCTCTGAACATACCACTAAAATTAGACTGCTACAAGAAATTAACTAGTTCGATTAAAACTAAGCGAAATTTTCTGAGTTAAATGCTTGTTTTTCTAAATGTGCCAAAGTATACAAGGCCTATCTTCCAAAAGAAAATAATACCTTTATGTAAGACTTTTTAAGGGAGACAGGTCCATATTTACGTTTAAATTACGCATGGAGAAAACTGTGAAATTACCCCCACACAGACACTCCATTCTCCGATACTCGAACCCGGGTGTTTACTTTTGAATTTACTTATTCAGCTAACAGAATAAAAACAAGAGTGCGGTATTCCTGTAAAGTACGTGTTTCTCGCGTCTTTTAAGTGTTGCAACTGGAATCTGTTTGATGTCGTAAATTATAGGAATTTTTACGTTTATCGTACAAGTCCGTACAGTAAATTTGATTTAAACTGAGCTTACATATCAAAATAAGTGGAGTGTTTAGATTTTATCTTACACTTCAAAGTAAAGATTTACTATGTGCACGTATAAGAGTTAAATATAGAAAATCCACGAGCACTCGCAAATGTAGTGCATAACCATTTTACACACAACACATACAAATACCTGCTCACTTATCTCCTTTTTTCTTAGCAACAGTATATCAATATTGCATAAAACCAATTGCTTTAATAACTTTATATTACACAACAGCATATCCGATAATGCCGTAAGAGTAGGAAACTTTTGGAACGCATTGGGAAAAACTATATAAACCAATATTCGAAAACATTACTTTTTGTTAGGAATTTCAGAGCTGTTTTAATTTTTTTATATTTAGTAAGGATAAAAGATATAAATAAAATGTAACCTATTTGTAGTTTTTCAAAGTTTTAATGGTTTTTATTTCAAGGTTTTATGTTATCTTTTACAGCAGAAAACTGTCGTCAGTATTAAATGGAAATAATACAGACAAAGTTTCACATAATCCCCTTTTTCTTTGTGCAAATAAAATATGCATATTAGAGCTGTAGAGATTTCTCTAACAAACCTTGTATATAAATATTTGGATTTAAATGCGCAGCTATGCCTTAAAATCAGGAAATCTGTGCTAGCACACAAAAGTAAAATCATGCCCTAAGTAGCCAACTGAAATAAAAGTCTTATACCAGTTGCAACATCCTTTAAGAACGTTAACTGCCTAAAAATAAGAATCTTTAGAAAATGGAATATGCTATTGTCTGGGATCAAGGCATGATTTATTCTGCTCAACTAAATAGTTTAAATTTACTTCCATGTTTCCCAAATGACTACTTCCAAACAGGATAGTGCAATGCAAAATATTGCAACAAGAATGTTAGTAATACT